CAGTCTCCTTGGAACCAAATACCTGTGGACGCCAAGGGTCTGCTGTATAAGAACAGTCTTCATACATGAAGCTTTACCTTTTCTTTCTTTTTTTTATGCATCAGAACTCATTTTTAAAAATATTATTGTACTGGGGGTACATTGTGACATTTATAAAAGTTCTTACAATATATCATAGTTGAATTCATCCCCTCCATCATTCTCCTTTATCCTCCCTCCCCCATTCCTGGAATAGTTTGAACATGTCTCATTTTTCCATTTTTATACATGAGTACATAATATTTCCACTTTATCTATTTTTGGGTTTTTGAGACAGAGCCTGCTTGTGTAGCCCTGGCTAGCCTAGGACTTGAATTCGCTATCTTCGTGCCTCAGGCTCCTGAATGATGGGATTATAGGTGTGTTCCACCACACCAGGCACTTTAACTTTTCTTTAAAATCCCACTTTACTGTTGGTGTTACTCTTCTGGTTTGGGGGATCATTACCTGTGTTAGTGGTTTTCGGGGTCTCTGTGGGGCTGGAGGAAAATGGAGCCTCCCGAATATCGGAATCAAGTTTGGTTTGTGTGAGCTGTCCTCAGAAAACACTGGCATGATGTGTTTGTCTTAACCAGCTTTCTTTAATGCTTAGCCCTTGGCTTTGTGATCCAGCTTCCACCCCAGCAGCATCCTGGTGTCCACTATGGTCCACTTCTGGAAATCTAGCCAGAGTTCCTAAGGGAGGAGGACCTGCAGAGGGAGAAAGAGAACTGCATCAGTGGGGAGAAGCGTGATATTTAAACACCACAGTTAGTTTTAGCATGCAGATTTTGCCATTCCACATGCAAGAAGTGTGCTGCACCTTGTCTAGATGTCTGTAGAATTGCTACTCTCCATGTTTCTGCAGATGGTCTGCCCCACTGTGAGGGCTGTGCCACCCTGCCTGGTGGAAACAATGCACTGGAGTTGGCGTGTGGCTTTTTGTTTGTGTGTCCCTGTTTACCTATTCATAATCATGGATCCGTTCTGCTGTGATACTGGGAAGTCACGTGTAGCAAGCGCCTCATTACCCACTGGGCTGCGAACAGGCATAATGCCTACTTTCTGGACCTTCTGTCATTCAGTAAAAGATGTTGTTGGCGTGTGTCATAATGACAGAGGGCCACGACTGGAGCCACGTGTGGCTGATTCCCGGGTCTGCCATGTGCTTTTGCAAGCTGCAAGCAAAGTGTTTGCTCTAAAGCACTCACGGTGCCTGGCTGTCTCCTGCCTTGCCTTGTCAGAATCTACAGGGCTGCTTTCTTAAGCACTAAGTGAAGAGGGAAGCCCTTCCCTCACTCGTTCTTTGCACATCCTGTGACAGTAAAATGTATTTTTCTTTTAAGCAAAATTGAAAGGAAAGAGAGCGAGAAAGAAAGAGAAAGGGGGGAGGAAAGGTTGCCATCCAGTGGAGGAAGGAGTAATTTCCAGCTTCATTGAGGAAAAAACGCAGGCTGAAATATGCTTAACTCTTTTAACTTGGCTGGGGATTTTTTTAATCACCATATGGGGCTTTTTTTCCCTGACATCCGGAGCCAAACGGGTGCAGTGTGCCTTTAAGGAGAGAGGTGCCTCACCAAACTTCGCTGTAGTTGTAGCTCACCGCTTAGGTAGGGAAGGAAAGTGTTAATTTCTTATTTGTACACTTTTTTTCCCCGACTTCCTTCCTATTCACTTCATTAAATCTAGAGGCAGTTCGGCATGGGAGCCGTCTGTATGTTGAATTAGGGCTCGCTCTCTTGCGCAACACGTCACCAGTCGGAAACTGGGGGTTTGCTTCTGTGATTTATTTCATTATTGTGCTGGTAAAAAGGTTTGGGAGGGAATTCTTTTTGGGGGTAGTACTTTTAGCATTGTGTAGCAAGTTTTTTTTTTTTGTTTTGTTTTGTTTTGGTTTTGGTGCCCCCAACCCCCAGCTCTGAGTTAAGTCAGTGGAGCTAGTTTAATAAATATTAAAAAAAAAAAAAAAAAAAAAGAACAGTTTAAAATCTCCATGACTAATTTTCCTTACATGCAGGAGAAATCTTACTGTACCCTTCAAGTGCGAAAAGCATTGGGGAACTGTGAGATGAATTGATTTCAATTAGAAAAGGACCCTTAGAAAAATCCCAGAACCTAAAGCCTAGGGGATGGGTTTGGGGTCTGGGGAGGAGGGAAGAGGTTTGGAGCTCTGCATTCCTGCATAAAACCTTAACTTCAGGGGAATTAGGGTCTGTACTTTGTGTATTTCCTTGTGATTCCAGAGCCTAAATTTAATCAGAAATCTGCACGTACGTATTAGCAATTGTAATAAAAATCGTTTCACTAGTTCTGTTTGCAATTTAATTTGGTTTTTGCTTCTTAGCTACTTACAGATTTTAGAGATTTAGAAGTCCAAATATCACAAGCTCTGCTTTGTTTCCCCCCTTGTTTTTCAGAATTAAGGGGGGCAAGAGTAGAAATATTCTTCTCACAACTTCCCCCCTCTTCATGTATCCCACCAAACAGAAAAACAATGAAAAATTTACAGCATGAAACTGAAAGTGAAGTGTCACAGTTGGTCGGGATTTGCTTTAAAGAGAAGAATAGCATGGTGTATAAAAATATTTGGACCTGATAAACATGCACATTGCTTTTACTTACATGCATCTAAGGAAAAAAATTGTCTTCTATGTTAGAAATCATTTCAGACTGCTCCAAAACCATGCAGCGTATTTTCTTTAAAAAGGACTTAAAATGAGGTATAAAATGCCAAAAAAACAGCATACCTTGTTTTAATTTTAAAAAATAAATTTGAATATTAATTTGTTTTCTTATTGGCTTAATTGCTAAACTGCAAGCAAGAATCAGAAACCACCTGAGCTAAAATCTCTAATTCTGCTGTCTGGAATAATAAGGGGGAAAAAATATGATAAGTAGTTGTCAATATTAAAACAGGCTGAAGGAGGAAGGCTTCGGGCCTTGTAGTAGGTAGAATGAAACAGCAGATTTGAGTATCCACAATCCTTTCAGTATTAAATTTTCAGTAAAATAAAATTACTTGTATATGAAAACATAGCCTTTCCCAGCTCTCTTTTTTTTCCTGATCAGCTGATGAAGAGACTAGCAGCTCGCTGCTTTGCCGGCTTGTTAATTTTATCCCCACTAACTGTGATTTCCGATAGCCGGCCTGCTGATAGTGGTAAGGTAAATATCCTTTTTCGTTGCCGTCTTGAAGATTCAGTAGAACTACATCCCAGGCATGTGTAGGTGTGTGACACATCAAAAGCCGGTGTTCTCCGTATTTCTGTGTGCAACTGGGTGCCTGAGGAGAGAGCAGTACCATTAACTGTTGACAGCCTTGCATGCTGTATTTAGGATTAGCATGTTCAGCCTCCAAGATGTGCGGGACAAATTCCTTTTCTTAATCTTCGTTTAGCTGCAGTGTGTTTAGCTGTATAGTGGGTGTCCTGTTTTTAGGCAAATGAATTTTAATGAAATAATGTGCAGCTTTTTTTTTTTTTCTTCTTTTCTTCCTTTTCCTCATAACTCATCAGATCTCGCCTCCTTCATAGTGGTTATCTGAACACTGTTAGGATTGTGATGGAAATTGTCTTTTGATTATTAAGGCCTGGGCTCAGGCTGTCCCTGAGGATTCTGTCTGTGTGCATGTTGCTTCTATGGATTTGCACATTGGAGGATGCATAGGGAACATTTTTTTAAATCCCACTGGCATTTTTAACATGCCAGGTCGTTTTGTGTGCTGTTACCAGGTTTTCTTCACAAAACCTTTCTTTTTTCAGGAGGCATTGTACATAAGTGAAAGAAATTATGTCTGAGCTGTAATCACTCTATATTGATTGTTATACTCACATGATCATAAATATTAGCCATGTTTGGTGCTGTGGAGAAATGAAGGTAATTGCCTTATGATTAGAGCTCTTTCAGCTACGAGAAAGGATTGATTAGCATTTGCATACTGGAGGCAATATTGAGAGGGAGCAGGAACAAATAGCAACATCAGTTATTTTGTGTGAGAAAGCAATCTCAAAATGTAATTTAAAGGTTTTTTTTTTAAGAAAATGTCTTTTCCATTGTCAAAATTTTTCTTTCTTTCTGTTTTTTTTTTTTTTTTTTTTTTTTTTTTGCATTTTTCTTTTACCCTTAATTTTTCTTCATAAGTTTAGAGACTTACCAGGAAAAAAAAAAAGTTTAAACTTCTAGGTCTGTCACATGGATCTTTCAGCCTTTTATGAACAGGTTTCTTTTCTACCTGGTTGTTTTTATAGCTATTTTATTATCTCTCTGCATTAGTGCTGCTGGCTCTGGTTTAAAGCAAGCGTTTGCAGGTAATTGGAAAAAAAAGTGTTTGTTGTTTGTGTATGTGTTCTCTATCTCTATCGGATGACTTAAGTGTTTACCAAGGAATGTGGCTATATACTTCCCCATTTCCTTGTTTACTAATTGCTATGTTAGAACAAAATCTGGATGGAATTTTGGTTTATGTTGTGAATCATAAATACATTAGTGTAAAACCTTAAAAGAAGAAAAGGTCAAAGCTTGTCTGATTGTATGGATGTATTCTTAGGGGAATTTTTTTTCTTCACCCACCCTTGGTTTTTGTTTACCTGTTCCCTTCTCTTAGAGGAATGAAACAACTAGGGTCTTTTTCCTTATATTGGGTTAAAATTTTATGTGGATTCAGTTATTTTCATGATTTGAATGTATAGATGTTTTTAACATTTGTCATTCTTTATTATGAGTGTGTGGGCCCTCAGCATATTTTACTTATGAAATAGATTTGGGTTAAAGATGCATTTATCCAATAAGATGGTTTTTTGTTTCGAGTTTTGTTTTTTCTCTTCTTTATTGATTACTGTTAACTTCTATTTTTAATTTTTTGTTAGTCTCATTTTATTCTAATTATTCAAGATATAGATAGATAGGTAGATAGATAGAGATATATAGATAGAGATATTTGGTTATTTTCCTGTCTTGAATTTTTCATTGTTTCCGATTAACAGGCCATTGAAGACGGCAATTTGGAAGAAATGGAAGAGGAAGTACGGCTTAAGAAAAGAAAAAGACGAAGAAATGTGGACAAAGAACCTGCTAAAGAAGATGTGGAAAAAGCCAAGAAGCGAAGAGGCCGCCCTCCAGCTGAGAAACTCTCACCAAATCCCCCCAAACTGACAAAGCAGATGAATGCTATCATTGATACCGTGATAAACTACAAAGATAGGTGAGTGTCACTCCTTCACCTCCATCATCTTCTGCCAATACCCTGAGTGGTACTCCCTAAGAGCCAGGTTGATTAAGTTGTGCACTAGGGTACTTTCAAATCTGTGTTTTTCTGGCCTTCTCTCCAGAGGTGAGAGTTACGTTGTACCACGTCAGATGGCCAGTATTGCTGTTTTGAACTATATGGTTCACCATATATTAAGATAGGTTGGAAATGAGTTTTATGACTCTCTTAAAAACACAAATTGGAACCTATTATTGACATGAAAGGGGTTGGGCAGATGGAGTGAAATTATATTTTAAGGTTGAAGTGTTAGAGAAAGAAGAATACTGATATATATCCTGATATATATTTAAGGGCTGTGTTTACAACCAAAAGATGCGTTCTTGAAAACAGAGTGCCTTCCTTTAATGCTAGGATTTCTGAACTCTCCTTCAAACTATTTCCTTTTCCTTCCTCATACTGCTAGTCAGCATGGTTTTCAGCAAATTCACTCCTTCTTCATTGAACTTTGGGTGTGAACAGCAAGAAGTCTATGCTGGACACTTCCCAGACTACTTTAACGTATAATTATTTGAACATCTAAGCAAAAACATTTGAGATTGTCAGTTTAGCCCTATGTAGTTAGACTACATTTTGGTTAGCTGACTTTGGTTAATTGATTTGGTTTCCATTTGATAGTCATGTAATGACATTTTCATTTGAAGATTGCATCGTTTCCATTGAAAATACATAGGAAATCAGATATTTTAGTTCTCTAAATTGTGTAGTGGTATTAATCAGCTTTTTTTAGTTAGCAGCAATTTTTGATATTAACTAGTGTTGCTCTCTCTAACCAAATGTGTTTAAACACAGATAACTAAATTGTGATTTTAGTTTTTCATTGTGGCTTTGGTATATGCATTGTGCAAGGAAGAAGGAAATTGTTAGATAGAAAGATTTAGTAGCATAAAAAGTAAAAAACTTTCCACTACATTTTGTTGGTAAACCTTTCCTATCTGTAAGGAATTTTCAGAAATGGTGAAGGGAAGGGGTTGCAAGGAGCCATTTGTGAAAGGGTCTGTATTTCTTGCCCTTCATTACCTACAAGATCTCTTACTATTTTTAATACTTTAGTTTTTACTATATTTAAGTGCATCTCTTTTAAGGATTCTGAAGTAGCCACCAAGGGTAGCACCATTATAGTGCATTTGGATCAGCTGTTCATTGACAAAGGTGAATAATGGCAATCCAGGAAGGAAAACTTGGCAAGTCCTTTGCCCAGAGTGAACGTGAAGACTTCCTGTATAAACCAAGAACCAGTAACTGTCCCTGTCAAGTTTCTGTTCACCTTCAGCTCTGCTTGTAGATTTCCCATAGACAGGAAGCTTGGATTATTACACCTTTTTTTTTTTTTATCAGTCCCTGGTGTAAAGAAAATTATTACTAAAAAGAGAGTATCACTCTGCACGTGCCTCTAACTTTCTTGCCTTTGTCTCAGGAGAATGGAGCATCTGTTTCTCGGACCAGATGTGCCTTGGTCTTTGACAGGCATTTTGTTCATTGCTGGCTGAGTCTAGGGCTGTTATGACATGAGACAGGCTGAGAAAGTCTGTGGAGGCTGAAAAGCTGGGCCTTGGACTCCAGTGTGATGGCTATGTCTTCCTCCACAGCATAGCAGAGGTCAGCAACTGTGAACCACATGTTGCCAAAAAATTGTTTTCTTTTTATATTGTCTTTCTGGGGGAGGGAAACAAAAACATTTAAAAGCAAATACATAATTTTTTAAAAACTTAAAGGATCGGCCTCACTCTGCCCAATGTTCCATAAGGTTGCAAGCAGCAGGAGGGAAGAAGTGGCCATTCTCTATTGAGAGCAGAATGCTCTCAACTGCTATCATCCTTGTCACTCCCTGTCATCTTTCCAAGATGAAGTGTGAGTTGACATTTGTCATCATCTCCTTTTCCTACCTCATTCGTATTACCTGCTGCCTCCATGGCCTTCAGAGTGTGTGACTTCATGGTGCACATGGCTATGACTGACCACTTGCCCATTTTCCTAGAGACCATCCCCAAATACAGAGTAGTGTGACAGTATATCCCCTTAGCCTCAAGGGAGCATAACACAGCGGCATACAGCACAAACTTTCGTCTCGATTCCACTGCCTACATTCAGATCCTGACCCTGGCAATCACTAGCTGTGGGACAGCTAAGTAAATGACCTAACTTCCCTCAGCCTCAGTTTCCCTATTCACACAATGGAAGAATTACTACATTTGCCTCCAGAATTGTAGTGGGTGAGTTAATACATATAACCCGGGTTCTTTGAACAATTTAATGATCAGTAATAAGCCTTTCATACTGCTTGTAATTAATCAGGTGGGTGAAGGGACATTGAAGACAGTGTCCTTACTGATACTGGTTTCCGTGATTTTATTTCCAGAAACAGAAAATACACTGAAACTCATTATCGAGCATGTCTTTAGTTATACTATAGGTAAAGGAAAGTTAAATATTTTAATATGAGATACTGAATGGTTTTTTTCCTCCCTTTCACTTGTTATTCACCTTTTCCTTAAAAAGTACCCTCCTAAGTCCCATTCTGTTACCTTCCTTATTTAGGTACTTTCTGGAGGTCATGTACTAAATTTCCATCACTGCATGTTTCGTGTATATTTCATGTTAGTAATCTTCTAGAAAAAGCACTTACTCTATTTATATTTTGTATTTCTCTTACCAAACTTGATTCTCAAGTAGGAGGCTCTCAAATTAGGAGGGTCTTAATTAGACACAGTGTCATATTTTTGGTTCATTTTAGAAAATGCTACAGGGAAATGTACATCTCACTGTTGAGATTTCTGTACCAATGAAGTCAGTTACTAATATAGAAACTCAGCCTACCTGAAAAAGAAATACCACCTGTACTAAACTCCCTCCCATCATCTGTGTCCAGTGTTAGGGCTCTGACAGTTTGTGGATTAGCAGCGTACTAAATAAGAACTGCTATCTATATGTAACAGATATAAGAGAAGGATTAATTAGCTCTTTTTAAAAGTTCTTGGGTAATTCTGAGACACATGTGTCTTGATATTTTTATAGATACCTAAGGTAATTTAAGTATCTATTTATTGCTTTGTAGTCAGTGCCAGGCCTCAATTTTTTTTGTTGTTGTTTTTTAAAGCAGGATTTTTTTTTTTTAATGTGACTCCAAAGAGCCAATACTTTTTTGCGATTTTACAAATGGATTGCTGTCTGAGATAGTGCTGATTCCCATCACTTATTTCTACAAATGGTAAATTTTCTGCCAAGTAACACTGGGAGGCTTTGTTTTGAGTTGAACATGCTTTGTGTTCTGCTTGCTTAGGGGGCTTTAAAAAATCATATCATATTCTCAGTTCATATAATATTTAACCCTAAGACTATTTCTTTGAAAAGAGATTCATCCTGAATTACATTTGTACCTTTTAAAATTGCCCCTGAGATAAGATGTAAAATAAGATAAAGAGTAGAGTCTAGTGGAGTTATCCCAAATCTAGAGGCATGGCTTACAGTTAGTTAAATAAAGGGGAGAGAGAGATTCCTAGAGGCATTCTTAAAGTTGGAAGAGACTTTTAGCACTGCATGGTCCAACTTTCCACCATCCAAATGTGTCCTTGCCCACCTGTGGCAGTCATCCAGCCTCCATATGGACACTCCAGCATTAGCATATATATATATATATTTTTTAGGAGCCAGTTCATGATATTGCAGGACAGCTCTAGGCACAATACTTATTTCCCCACCTCAAAATAAACCCAGCTCTCAGACTTGTAGCTGTTTGTTCAACTTATGTCTTCAGAGAATGAATGCATCTCATTCCGAGAACTGTCCTTTGCAGTGTTTATGAACACACATACCTAGCTTAAGACTACCTTGTTCAGGTTGAAATGTCTCACTCACTCTCTGAATGATATGTAGACCTTGGCTTTCTTGAACCACCTCCTTATAGATACATTTTACTTTCTTAATGTGTCCCATATGAAACATGGCACACAGAGCTGGAGAGGTGCTCTGATGGTGGGACAGCAGTTACCTTCCTTATTGTGAACCCCAAAATTCAGTTAACATGGCTCAGGGGCATATCCACTTTTTCTAGCTTCCTTGACACAGACCTAACTTACATGGAACATGTAATGTGTTGAACCCCTCCTGCCCTCTTCAAACATACTCACAGGGCCTTTCTTAAACAAAAGCTTCCAAGGTCAGCCTTGAGCTAAGGATTAGATTTTATATGTATCCCAGTGCAATTGTGTCTTAGTGCTTTTTTTTTTCTCATCCTTGTCTATTGATGTAACTGAATTTTTATACTTTTAAAAAATTATATTTACTTGTTTTCTTAAGGTTTTTTTCATCCTAAGATTTGATATAAACTATTGCTGCGAAACTTCTAAAGGACAGGGCCCTATGACTTACACCTGGAAATCACTGTGGGCTGACGTGAATATTTTAGTCAACCAATAATCCTTAAAATTGATTAAGTGCCAATGAACTCATATGGCCAGGTTTTCACGTCACCCACATTTATCTATCCTTTCTCAAGGTTATCAAGAAAGGCTATAACCAAAATAAACCATGTTTGTAGCCTCTCCCATCTATCAACCTAGAAACCTGCCGGAAATAGTGAAATGAGGTTAGGCTGCCTTGGTTTTTTCTAAGAGACCTCCTGCTGGTACTTAATGATGTTATTTGTCTTTGCTAAGTAGCCCCATGGCATCCAAATAATTTCTTCTAAGTTTTTACCTAGGGGTCAACATCAAGCGTAACAGTCTCAAGTTTCCTTTCTCATTTTGAAATTGGGACATTTGCTTATCTCTAGTCTGTGATTCCATTTCTGTTCTCTGTGATTTCCTTCTTATTAGCAGAAACAATCTACACACTCTTTCAGGATGTAATTAGTTTGCAACTGGACACTTAAACTTGTTTGAAGCACCTTGATATGCTCCTTTTATCAACTCTCCTATCAGGAGCGTTTTTTTCTGTCTTTATTATGCCTTGCTTTTCACATCCAAGAATTGTTCTCATTCCTGAAGAATCTGGAAGTAGAATAGAAGTCTAGTGTTCCCATTTCCTCACTCTTTGGATTGTTGGAAGATGCATGATTTGAAGGTACATCCATGAGGACCATCCCTGCTGTCTGTACAGGGTGTGAATGTTAGGTCCAGTTTTGGAAATGAATGCAGTAAAGCAGGGGGAGGCAGGAGATGCTGGCTGGCCTGTCCAATTGGTGGGTGCAGTCGTGGCACACACTGGGGCAGAAGGGATAGCAGTCACTTGGCTTCTGTCTCCGGTTTGCTCTTCAGGCTGTACTCTTTCCTAAACTGGACATGATTCTTCCTGCCTCTAATTTTAATAATCCTGCTGGTATCTGTAGGAATGCCAACAGGTATCTCAGCTTGTTTTAAGTTTAGCTCTCCTCCCTTTGGAGAAATCATTGTTTATCCCAGAAGTATTTCCTGCCCTGTTAGTTTTAGCTCTATACTGGTGAATCTGGCCACAGGGTCCAAACTGCAGATATGTACCCTAACTCCTCCCCAAGCAGTGGAGGATAGAGCTCCAATACTGATATTACTAAACCAAGAATTCATATAAGGTGTGGAGATCTGTGAGCCCCAGAAAGTGATAATACAATGACTTCACCCAGTGTTTACAATCACTTTGGGGGAAAAATTATGTCACCGTAATGAGAAAATAGAAATATTTCATTACATTATAGCACTTTTTTAAAAGGGTTTGGTATTCTATAAACCTAATCATACCAATTGTGCTTGTTTAATTCCTATACACGATGAAAAGTAACTTGTAGCATTTCTGTCTTCTCTCCTCTCTCTCTTCTCTCCTCTCATCCCCTTCCCTCTCTTCTCTCTCCGCTCTCTTTCCTTACTCTCTTCCCTTACTCTCTTCTCTTCTCCGTTCCCTACCCTGCCCTCTCCTCTGTCTGTAGTACTGTGAATTAAAGTCAGGATCTCACACTTGCTAAGCAAATATTCTGCCACTTGAGCCATGCCCCCAGTTCTTATGCTTTTAGTTTGTTTTTCAGTTAGGATCTCACATTAACATTACCTGAGTCTGCCTTGGACCATGGTGCTCCTACTCCCACCTCCTGAGTAGCTGGAATTATACAAGTGTAATCCCATTTTTTAATGTCTCCAGAAGGGCTTCTGTTAAAAAATGTCTAGTGCCAAGATTTTCTCTCCAAAGTGCTCTACTTAAAATGCAGTGAGGTATTTCCTATTGGGAAGAGGTTCCCACCTTGACTATCATCTTAAAGCTTTCATTCAATGGACTATTCATACAAGTGTTCACAATGTCTAAAAACAGATTTATTGCAACATACATTTGTAAAACCAAATCTGTCATTTAGCATTCTTTGTTGTTGCTGTTTGTATTTTTATTTTTTTTTAAACCAGTCAGATTCCTTACATATATGTTTCCTTTATTGGAATGATTCTGTTAGAATCTCCTTTATTCAGAAGCTGGCATTCCTATTGAAGTGTAATCTCTGTTAGTCTCAGATCATAGCACCAGGCCTCTATTTCTCTGAATTATTTTTGATGTAATCTGTAAAATGCCTAGGACTGTATTTGTCCTTCCCAGGATCTTCTTCCTTCACTACTGCATGTTCTAGTATGACCCGGTCTGCTTTGGTTTCTTTATCCTCCCCGTTAACACTGCCATGAACCTGAGGTGACAATAATTAAAGTCTTCCCAGTCAATACCTTATTTCTGAGGTGTGCTCAGATATAAAGTCCCTTTCATGTACAGGCTTCTCTCCAAGGCACCCATCCTTTCACCTCCTCAATACACTCACTCCCTGAGGACCTGTTCTCACCCCTGGCCTGGCCCAGGACAGCTGCCTCCAGTCTGTTCCCCATCCTGCTTTCTTTCTGAGGTGCATATCTGATCATGTCATCCTGTTACTTAAAAACTTTTCAGTAGCTTCCTGTGCCTGCTCAGTGATGATCAGACTTCTTGGCATAGAAAAAATAGCCTTTCACATTCCAAACCTAACAACCTTCACTTTCCAGCAAGTCTTTCCCTCCCCTCCTTGTATTTCAGACATTCCAAGTAATTTTGCATATTTGGAGTATCACACATACTTTCATGCCTCTTCTCCCCGGTTTATGCTGGCCGGTCCCTCTCCAAATGCCTCCTACTCTAAGGCAGAGAGGACAGCTGCTCTGTGGAGTACCAGGGTAGGCCATGTACCTACTGTCTCGGTCTAGAGTAAGATCTGGATAGGATGGTTCTCTCAGGATGCATCCAGTCTGACAGCTGGTCCCCTTCCACCCCACAGAAGGACACCCGCATCACTGCATTAGATATCTTCACCTGAAGAGTCTTCCCTAGGGGCCTGTGGAAGGGCTGGGACCTCAGATAGTGGCTTAGTTTTATTTCCAGTTGAAGATCACTTATTCAATGATCTATCTATTCAGAAAGAACAGAGTTCTGGGAAGCAGAACTCTTGACTGCTTAGTTGTGTTCAGAAACCAAATTGGTCAACATGTAGAACTCCTCTCCTACCCCCATGTGCTGTCTGCTGTAACCAAAGCCACTTTATTGTAGTTCACGGTCACAGTAACTGGCTAAGGTAAGTATTATCCTCACTGTACAACTGAGGGGGTGACACTCATGCTGATGCCACTTTCCTTCCAAAGATCATGCACACCCCTCACAAGTGGCTGCCCGTTTTCCCACTGCTTCCAGAGCTGTGAATGGGACTTGTGTGGAGGGAAACCAGACCAGCAGAACAGGAAGAAGCAGGAAAAGTCCCAGAGAGGTTAGGAAATCCTGAAGAAGCATGTATTTTCTCAGAATGAGGTTTCAAATGCCACCTTGTGTGAATTCCTCCAGGTTGCCCAGCCTGGAAGGAAGGAGCTGGGCTGGGAGGACGACCCAGGTCTTCTGACTCTAGTGTTCTTTCTACTCTACCACAGGTGTAACGTGGAGAAGGTGCCCAGTAATTCTCAGTTGGAAATAGAAGGAAACAGGTCAGGATCTGTCTTGTATTCCTGTGTCTCTAAATACAGGTATCCCTTGTACACAAAACAAGCTGATGCATAGAATCAACCTTCAGAAGCAAATTTCTCTGGATTCCCCCCCAGTCACCCCCACTTGAAGGGGTGGGGGATGCAGCTACACAAATTCTTAAACATGCCATGCTTTTCAAGATGTGTCTTAATTTGGGAATGTCCATGTTACACACGTACATCTTACAAAGGTGGTGGGAGCCTGCCTGACCTGCAGCACCTCAGAGATGGGTTTCTGCTGCTTCCTGTCCCTTCCAACTCAGCTTCTGTTGTGCGTTCCACAACAGAAGCTAATTCCTTCTAATTGTGTGCTGCCTTGGTATAGAAGCTTCACGCAAAGCGACATGAAGCCACAATACATGTTCACGATGTTCTGCATCCTAGAGTTAATCTGGGTTGGCGTGCGGGAGCAGGTGCTGCGTCTACTCCTGTGTGTGCTAAGCTGAGTTTCAGGGTGTGACTTCTGGGTCAACCTGTCGTCTAGTACCCTACATCAATCTGTGTAACCTCTGGGTGGTGTTGCTTCTGCTGGTGTACAACAGAAGTGCTTTTCTTCTAGAGATAGTGTGAGAATTAGATGATGTTGATTGAGTAGGAGAGATGGACGGGCATGATATGCCAGGGTTAGGAATTGTTATTAACAGATTGAAAATAATAGTTCTTTCCTCCTCCTGATCAGTGTGGCTTTTTGAACATATTGATATAATGCTTTATCATACAATTTTTCAACTGATCTAATAACATCCTTTATACTAGTATTTCCCTAATCAGTGTAGGATCTAATCTAGGGCCAGAAGGAAACAGAATTGAGTCTATAGCCTTTATTTCAGAATGAATCTGATCTCTGGTTATGGTATATTCTCTAAAGAGTTAAAACATGTCTATGTAGAGATGAAACTGATGGGCAAGAATGTTGATTATTTATACTTCCTATTGCTATTTAGTAAACAATGAATTATCCTAGAAATCAGACACACAAGCATAGTGCTTGTAGGGAACCATGAAGAATTGTGCTCTGTTTTTGCCATTATGAGAAAGAATTCAGTCTGGATTTGAATTTGGGGATTGAAACAACAAACACTTGAGTTTGTAAATTTAGGCAGTTTAAATAATGAATTGAGTTGGGCAGACACTTTCACCCCCATTACCAAGATGGCCTAGTTGGTCTGTTGGTACGAATGGCACATCTCAGGCTGAGTGCCATCCCCTGCGAGCAAGGGGAGATCTGAGCTCCATTTTCCTCTGCCCCTCTTCCTCTCTTCCATCAAAACTCATGTGACCATGAAAAGTGGATTAATAACTTTAAAGGCTATTATAAGCCCCCAATGTCATGCCTGGGCTTTCTGACAGTAGATGATATAACTGTATGCAGTTAGGACCTAGAAAGATCCACTTTCACTAAACATGCATTTAAATACTGCATAGAGCATAGCAAGGGGCTGGGGCACTTGCTTCCTCAGAACTCTTTGGAGACTGTCTCTTTCCTTATTGTCCCCTTTTCCATAAGCCTGCATTGATGGTGTAGTGTTCAGAGGTTGTATTATGATGAATTAACCCTTCCTTCAGAGCAGTTTTTTTTTTTCCTTATTTAAATCCTTTCTTCATGTGTTCAAAAGCACTGAGCATTTTCTTTGTCAGTCTCTGGGTAAGTATTGAAAATGGGAGGAAATGAATAAAAAGGAATGCCTTAAAGCACAGTTGGAAGGACCTATATTAACGAATAATACAAGGACATAGGGTAAATTGGTATATGTACTAGGTAGGAGAGATGTATGGGCAGAAGTAGGAAAAGTTAAAGTCTGCTCATGGGTGCCATAGGAATTGCCCAAGTAGACTAGGACTATTGTAAGGTGTTGGAAGTGAATGAAGCAAAGGTGCCCAGTCACATGGTTATGGGCAAGAAGAGGCTGCCTCTAGAGCCCACACAGACCTCTCTGTGACTAGGACTTCAGGTGAAAGGAAGGAGACTGTTGGGAGCAAGGCTAGAGAGGCAGCAGTGTAGATGCCAGAGGCCTCAAGCACCAAAGTGAAGAGTTTGAGTGTTACCTTCTAGGACAAGGGCCTCAAGGGCAGTCTCCATGTACCAGTGACTGTCAATACCACGTTGAGGAGACAGATGAGGGCACAGATGAGTCCTGGGTGAGGGATGCCTAAATCAGTGCCTGGTTATCTGTTGTGGGGAGAGGAAAGGGAGAACCAAAAGAAGGCTGTGGAGACATGGTCACATTCATGCTGGGAAAAAGCACTCTGATAGTGTTCTAAGATAGAGAATGAATCTTGGCATCCTTTAGAGGATATTGGTAGGTGAAGGAGGATGCAGCCTTCAGATGAGGAAGTAGTGGTGGGTAGGAAGATGAGGTGTGAATGATAAGACTTGGGTCAGACTGGAAATGAGAGGGGACGACTCAGATAACTCTTAACCCTCTTGCCTGAATGATGCGTGTCATTTACCTGGGTATAGGTGAAAGGAAAATCGGTGTGGGTGGGGCATGGTGTGTGTGCACACGTGTGCATGTGGCCCAGCCACACATCACTTCAGGACCCGAAACCTCTTCTCTCCATTGCTATTAACAGCTCTTGATGTTGTGATTATGTTGTTAGTATTGACCGCCCCTTCAGGACCAGCCAACAAAGTCTTTTAGACCTTTTAGACAGTATTTTTAGCATCCTTGGTACCAAACATTCTTGTATTTCTTTAAGTAGGGGAGAGAATCTACTGTAAGCCCAAGCACCTTTCCAATTATTAGTTCTAATTAGATTACAGAGAAATTGCCATGAAATAGCAGTGTGACCAAGTGGGTACACTTTGAGGAAATTCGAGTTCCAGGCGAAGAGTTGTTTTTCATCACTTCTCTGTAGCAGGTACTCCAGACCCAGCATAGGGCTGAGAGTTTGTCTTGTAGAGTAGCAGCCTAGGAAGGTGACAGCCTAGTGCTCTGTCTGGGATGCTGCGTCCCAGAGGGTGGCCTTCCAACGCTAGTCTTCTAGTTCACTCTTGGAGAGTTCCAGTTCAGCCAGATTTTCTGGGAAGCCTTGCTCTAAAGCTAACTGTTTAACTTTGTTTTTGCACAGTGTTTCCCAAACTCATTTAAGCAGTAAACTCCCTTTTAAAGGAACACTGTTATAATCCAGTACGCGATGTACTGTGGAGCACACTTTAGGAAATGCTGAATTAGAATTCAGAAACTGCATTTAGACCAGGGAGAATCTGCTCTAGGAAATGTAGGTTCCAGTGCTTTATTTTGCCCTCGTTACAGATACTTTTACTTCAAATGTTTACTGGAGCAGGCTGCTGTGACTCCTGGTTACTTGACACTTATTTATGGTACTCAGCCAATTTTGCCCACATAGAGCAGGTGGTTAGCCCACAAATACACTGAGTCCGTCTGCTTTCTGAGGCACAGAATGCCGCCTCTAGCTTCCAACATTAGCCTGACCCTACAGTCCCTCTCCCCAGGATCTCTGCCCCTCAAGCTCCAAGCCAGCACCCACACGAATGACCCGTCTCTGGGAAGGAGTAATAACCGGAAATAGCAGAATGGATGTTCTTATAGGTCTGATAAACTGTTTTCAAAACTTCTCCATAAACGTTTTGATAAAAAATGGATTGATCTGAAGATAAGATGTTGTATATATCCCTGTATGTTCCTGGGAAGAGTCTGTCTCCTTTAGATTAACTCTTCATGTCTTAAGAATTTACTAAAATGGCCATTGCAGGGAAAAGCAGTACTCTGGTACCTGCCATGACCTATCACTTAAATAAAACAGCATTTGGATCTTGGGCACAGATGGAGAAGAATTTGATTTTGTTTGCCTGTAAAGGCTTTGTGCTTTTGAGTTTGGTCACAATTCAGTCAAAAGCTTTGAAGCATTTTTACTATTAAAAAGTGGAGACACAGCACAGGATCAAAGGACAGAATTTCACTAGAAGGGAAGGTCTGCTCTTACAATTTGAAAGGAAGGCATCTCTCAGAGTCATGAGCAGTTTTCCAGGATGAGGTGGTGTAAAACTAACAATTGACTGGCCAGCCAAGCAACAGGCCACTTAGCTATCCCACTTAGACAGATGAACAGTGAGAATTCCATATTTTTACCTACTGTTGTGAAATGTCAAGTGAGAAAAAAAGGGTAGGAAACTAGACATCTTCAGCCAACATTTCTAAAAGTCAAGTGACAGGCAGTAAATCTACTCAGAAATGTCTCCTCAAAATGCTTATCAAAAAAACAAAACAAAACAAAAACCCAAAGAAAATACTCTCTGAAACTCATGTCCTTTTACAAGCACCTCTGCTTGCAGTAAATGCATTAAGAAAATTCTGAAGAAATAACTAGGAACTTTGTACAATAATTATTAAGATTGCAATGTCTTACATAAAATTTTTATTGAATTCTGTTCCTTTTTTTTTGGCTTTCTGGTAACACTGAAAGGTGCCAGTTAGTGAGACATGCTGTTCATGGTGCTATAAATAAAAGTTGATGATATGACCCTTACACATCATTTCTCTAGAGAAAATAAAATTTGATTTTTTGACTTATAGCATGTTTTCAAAGAAGGTGACAATAAAAGTGTTGAGAACTATTTTATGGATAATTTGATGGTAAATTACATTTGATTATAAATCTTCATTTTGTGGCCTAAGATACACTGTTATTAATGTGTGTGCTTTGGCATATCTCCTCTGGATTTTTCTTTTTTTAATGTTTAAAAAGCTCAAAGGTGCATTACACTTACAATTTTACATCTTGAGGAATTTTTTTTGTTTTGTTGTTTGTTTTTTAAAATGTCATAATAGCATTTTCCATTCTTTTACAGCACACGGCTTTAGACTATAGTTTCCTATTATATGACCTTTCCCCAATCATTAAACATTTTGGCTGGTTTGTTTTAAATAATCCTGTGATGACCATCTTTATGTGTACATTTTTATCTGTGTTTCAGCCTAGAGTATATTATGGAAAGTGGAATTGGACAGCAAGAGTGTGATTGTCTTTAAGACGTGCGTGATGTCTCTCTTGGTGCTTTTCTTACTGAGTGGAGAGAGCCCTTTACCTCTCTAACATGGTGGTGACCTTAACCTTCTATTAGTCTGATGCAAACTCATTTTTCTTAATAACTGAGGAAGATGATATATATCTAATGTGCTTTCCTGACCATGAGGGTGATTTTAACAGCTTCCACTTCCACTGCCTATAACAGGTTTATCCCCACCCTGCTCTGTTTTGCTGTTACTTATCTACTTCAAGAGCTTGGGAGGCCAGACCTAGTTTGTTAGGAATTACCAGTCAATATTCCATGAGACCCAGATAAGAGAGGTCTTAGTGAATTTGGAGAGCTTGTGACACCTGTTCTGTGACTGGCTCAGGTTTCTGGTGTTCTGGATAACAGGGGTGACCACTGTGGTCTTGAGGAAAATTTTTAGTAGAGAATATTAAACTTCATAGGAACCTGATCCTGGAAAGTGACAGCATGCTGTCACCTACTGCCCTGCAATGTTGCCCTAGTTTTCAAAGTTGTCTTCCCAGATGACTTCCCGTGTTTGATTCCTTTAGGACTGTAATAAGTTTACTATAAAATCCTTCCCACACAAGTGAGTATTCTAAATCAAGACATCATTTTCTTGGAGAGAGAAGATAGTTACACTTTTTTTTACCATTTTTACCTTCATTGGCTAATGTAAACAGAACTTATTTTGGCTTCAGTTAAGACCTCTTTTGCAGAAGTATATATTTGAAATTGTTGTCAACCAATCAGCTTAGGCAGGGTGAAAAAGAATAAAATGGGGGAAAAAAAAAAAAAGAAGCGTCAACCAGTGTCAATCTTCTTGCTTTGGACTTGTTGAAAGAAATCATTGAAAGACAACAGCCAGTATTTTTGGAACAGCTTTCTCAGTGAGCCTGTTTTTGTCAGGCCTGCACTGCTACCTAAAATGTAGCCTTCGATAGAGCTGGTATTTATGTGAAGTGTGTACTGTACGCAGTCCCCATTTTAGAGTCAGAGTAGGATAAATGAGGAAATGCAGGGACGTTGTCTTCAGATGAAACCTAACAAATCTCAGTAGCGTGTGTGTGAACCGTGCGTGCAGGGTTTGCAAACCACCATTTACAAGTGGAATGAGGGGATTGTGCATCTCACACACGTGACATCATAGCCATGTCCCTGTGCCCATTCACCGTGGTAGAGAGGAAAGGTGCTTGCCTACCCACCCCTATAAATACTCTGTCCAGTGCAATCCTTTAAATTTCTTTTATAGGTTACACTCGTCCCTACTCTGCCCCTGTGTCTTAGCACAGTCAATCCCTAGTCTGAAATACGTCACTGGTCAAAGTGGATCTGAAATCCGAGCTGTCTGTGGACTCAGGAAGGGTGGTCTTGCTTTTGTCACAGGAAGCAGTGCACTTTGAGGTAGTAATTTATACTTAGGCCTTAAATTGTACAAAATAACATAATGGAAAATACCTTAGGGTAGGAGAAGTGTTTCAACAAAATCAGATTACCTCCTACAAACCATTGTTCAAGTAGTCCATTGTTCTATACTTAAACAAAAAACTTTGTGCATTGAGAAAAAAGTTTGAAAAGGTATATTTAAAAAAGCTTTGCTCAATTCAAGTTTGAGAAGGAAATCCCAAGAATTCAGAGCTCCTCAGGCTTCTTCATATTTGTCTCGTTTTGTTTTAACTTGTATTTTGAGGGGAAAAAAGCAAATTACTGTTGCAACCCATTAGCAAGTGGTCTAGCTACCTCAGAGCATCTCCTAGGTTACTTGAGAGCTGGGTGCTACCCAGGACCAGAACTTTCCTTGCCTGAGCTGCCATCAGAGCCACAGTTCTGGCAGGAATGAGGGGAGGGTTTGATGGCATGTAAAATATTTACCGCCTATAGGAAGGAGAGGAAAACCCATACATGGAAGGATAGAGTTCTGAGAGGTGAGGTACACGGTGTTCCTGTGATTAATATTTAGAATTTCTTCTATGTTCGTGGATCCTGGATGGATGGATCAAAAAGTCTCTGAAGGGGAAAAAGCATAAAGAACCTTCTAGTCACACAGGGGGAATTGGTCAGGGTACATGAGGATGCACAGAAAAAAGTGGGCTCCTGCCCAGCAGAGAAGGTGGTTAGTAGAACAGGCTTTAGAGAGCTTGGACAGCCAGACTGAGATGTTTGAAAGACGACGGAAGCAACATGGGCAGAAGATAACTTCCTTAGATAGCTCTCGGACCCCCCTTTCGCCCACACACTCAATTCTTAGGAGGGTAAAAAAGAAAGTGGGGGATAGGAGTATTAAGTCCAGGAGACTTTGTTTTTGAAGCAGAGTAAATTTATTTCTCATTTTACAGTATTGGCACTAAGTGTGAGAACATTCAGCTCTCCTGTTTATGAGCACGGGTAACACTGGACTTGTTTCCTTATAGGGTCTACAATTTTTAGGGCCTAAGGACAGGGAAGCTAGAACAAGACTGCCTTTGCCACTTTGCCCCCCTTGAAGTTTTATTACTCTCTAGGTCTATAGTTCTTCTTTCTTATTTTACCAGGAGCACAGTTGAAATTAAGAGTATGTCCCCATCACAGGTATACAAAGCCAAAGATGTGCTTATAATCTGTCAATAGAAAAATGACACCATCTGTTGACAATGTAGAAAATGACACTGAAGATGTCACTGAGGGTCACAATTACAAAGAGGTCTGGCATTTGGGTTGATGCTTGGTTATAAAGAATGCTAATTATAAAGAAGTCCTTGGTAGGCATAGAAAAATGATCTATAAGTTCTTCTCATTTCCTTTCATATGACCCATTTCAAAAAAGTATAAATCTCAGAATGGTAGAAAAATGCACCAGAAGTTGTGGCTGTTTGTTGAAGGTGATAGTAAAGAGTTTTTGTCATATACCATAAATCATGGAAGTACAAATACATCTCTCCACCTGTGATAGAGATGGGGGTGGATAGAGGGTGGTGGTGAGGGGAAGAGAACAGCTTGTTTCTTGCCACAGCCTATAAGTCCAATTCCCTAGTATTCTGTGGTCTCAAACCTCTTATTTAATCCCTGATTTTACCATACATGCATTAAAAAAGCAAAGCAAAACAGTGACCCAATATAACAGAAAAACTCGCCCATCCTTTGACAGAGGATTTTCGGTTAATTTATGCAGGTCCTTTGCACTCCAGCTTTTTCCCCACTGGTTGCTAGGCAACCATTGGAGTTACTGCGCATGCCTTTTTATGATAACTGTCATTATGATTATTTTTTAATTATACAACTGGGACCACGGATTAAAATGGCATATTGTCACCGGTGCTTTGCCACTGCCTCTGAGCATTCCCGCACACTCCTGCAGTCACCTTCCAAAATTTACATGAAAATGATTTATCTCTTGATGTTTCTGGCTTCACAAAGGAAATAGAAATGGCACCGTGAGGGGAGTGAGATTTTTGTGACAAATGACTTTCCCATGTATCAGGAGCTCTTATTGATCTGGGTAGGCCAAATCAGATATTAGGATCTTGAACCTAAATTATCTTTGTTCCTTTAACTATGTCTGCTTCCAATATTAAGTGATGTGAAAGGCTCCTATTGCTTTTGCAGCTTGTGTTTAGAGGCTTACAAAACGTTAGGCACTTGTAACTGTTAAACCTGCTTCTGAATGAACCCATGATGAATTTGGGAGGGGGGTACAGCACTAATCCTAGACACAGGAGGCATCCACATTGCCAAGTGCATTTGTTCTTTTTTTGGCCCAAATTGCTCCATACACAGAACTAAGTGCAGGTAGGTGAGATGAAGGGGTTCCTCTTGCAAATGCCAATAAAGGTAATGTGTGGCTCACAGTATGGACAGTACTGTAAAAAGAGTAAGACTGAAAAGATTGTCACTAGCTATGTGCAAACGCTTTTCAGTTGGGTCACCAGAGCATACTCTAACATGCTGAGTTTCTTTCTAAATATAAAGTGAATTTAAAGACAACGGAGTGTGGAAATAATGTATGTGTACTTTTATTTAACCAACTCTTATTTATTTTAAAATGGAAGTTTCGATTTAATAGGTTATTTAAAATATTTCTATCACAATGAAGAGAGAGATGTGCACATCTCGTATCATATGTGTGACAGAAGTGGAGACCTAATTGTGTTTTCAAGTCATTTGAAGTTAACACAAGGGAATCTAATCTCCAACATGGTTGTGGGATTTTCTTCCATTTAAACAGCCCCATGCCTAGATGCATGGGATGTCATTTGCTTTGTTGACATTTTCTGAAATAAAACCTTTACCGAGGAGTGCTTGATCTGGTTTGTTTCTGTTTGTTTCACCCATCCTGCAGTTCAGGGCGACAGCTCAGTGAAGTCTTCATTCAGTTACCTTCCCGGAAAGAGTTACCAGAATACTATGAATTAATTAGGAAGCCAGTGGATTTCAAAAAAATAAAGGTAGATATTCTGCTTATTAGCTTTATTCTTCAAATAAATAAAGAAGACATATAAATGCATTGAGGTGGGGTTGAGCAGTGGCATACCATGTGCCCATGCATGCCCAGGGCATGCCACAGGAAAGAAGGCCTTTCCATGTTTGTTACTTATTCTGAGGGCTCATATTATATTGTGTTTTATTAAAAACCTATCAGAACTGGCCCCCTCCAATTGCTGCTCTTACTTCCCATCTTGTGCTCCATCCCCACCCTTAGCAGGTAAAAACCCTGGGAGGAGGGCAGTCTTTGGTAATGAGCCCCCTGAGGTTTGGCCATGCCGTGAAGACAAGGAAAAGTGAGCTTTCTTAGATACTGATTATTGCATTTTGCTGTTCCTCTTCTTCCCTCCATTTTATCCAAAATTTCCACCAGGAAAGAATTCGTAATCACAAGTACCGGAGCCTTGGCGACCTGGAGAAAGATGTCATGCTTCTCTGTCACAATGCACAGACATTCAACTTGGAGGGATCCCAGGTGTGTCTCGAGTTCTCTGAGGAGATTCTAATCTCAAACATGCCTATGTTCTTTTAAGTGAAGCATTTCATTTTTTACCTTATGAATCATTGCTCCTACCCTAGCAAAAGGAAAACAAAAGGCCATATTCTGGGGTATGTGTGTGAATAAATTGAGGCTTTGGCATTTTCAAATTACTTTTGTGCCATAGCTGTGCAGCCTCTGCTCATACTTGTCAGGCTTTCTTTAAGGTTTGTCTTCCAGTTACAGAGTAGGAGTTCAGGTAAGCCGGTTTGAGGTTTTGCGAAAGGCTGCAGTATGGTTTCTGTATTTGTAGAAACTGTATATTTGATTATATTTACCTTCATTTTTCTGATTATAATCTTGTATCAGGACTCAAAAGTGCTATGATTTAAAACAAAACATAGGGAAAAAAAAACCTGCCTCTAATTACTGTCAAAACAATCCCCATTGCCACTCTTTCCGTTCTCTTCTCTAAAGTTAGCAAGTCTAAGTGTATATAAGTAACACTGTATTTATTGAAATAGCAGGGAGTACACTCCCACTTTAATTTCATCTCAATTACTCTCATCTTTTGTAGAAACTCATTTTTTCTCTAATTCTGGCTTAATACTCTCATATCCAATGAAGAAGGGACAACACAACAATCAGTGTGTCTGCCAATCAACCCAATGTCAAACCACCATTAAATTCTGTAACCTCTTTCCTAATCTCACTCTTATGTCTGTTCCATTCACCAAATTCAAGAACATGAGAATCCTCAGAATGTACACTGAACAGAATCTTATTTCCAGGTTAATAGTGACTAATAGCCAAAACAAGGGGGTCTTAAAAGCAAGCCTTCTGTAATGGAAACACCAAAGAAAGGAAGTCAGAATCAACAAAACAGTTTTTTTGTGAATGATAGTTTATTGTAGTCTCTTTGGATAGAGTTTTGCATTCGTTATGATATTTATCCATTCCCTCTCCAGTCCCACATACTGTTTCACAAGAGAAGTGTAGCAATGAATGGCTCCTGACTGGTTTCTTTCTCAGTCTATCCTGGGCACTAATTTGTCTTTTCCTGCCTATTGCTGCCTTCCAGGCTTCGAAGTTCTCCATGTGCTGTCCGAGTGAACTAAATGGCTGTATGGGATTTTCTGCAGTGGACCCCTACCCTCACTTCCTGCCATTCCTCCAGATAATCAGATGATAGTCCAATCAGATGATTCCATAAACAACTGCTTCCCACATGCATATCTTTTAACTTTTTATTTTGAGGTCACTAGATTCACAGGCAGTTTGAACTGTTTACATCTTCATGAGCTAGTTACATCTCATGTGGCAGAATACCATGTCACAGCCAGGAAATAGACACCGACATAATAATCTCAAATGTATCTTTTTTTGTTTCAGTACTGGGGCTTGAATTCAGGGCCTACACCTTGAGCCACTCCACCAGCCCTTTTTGGTGATGAGTTTTTTCGAGATAGGGTCTCGTGGAACTATTTGCCCAGGCTGGCTTTGAACCATGATCCTCCTGATCAGCTAGGATTAAAGGCATGAGCCACATTTTTCTTATTTTTGCCTTCCCACCTGTTCATTCGTGATCCTTTCTCACCCTTAAGGTCAACTCTGATGTGTCTGGCAAATTTTGTCCTAGTAGCCCCACAGTGGGGCCACTACAACTACAAGTTGTAGTGGGGCAACTACAAGTTGCCATGTCCCTTTGGTTCATCTTTATAGTCAAAGAATATGTTCCTAGAGAGAAAAGGCCATTCTTTTTTCTTGATAAAAAATTGTTATGATTGGGCTAAGATGTAGCTCAGTGATGGAGTGCTTGCTTAGCATGTGTGAGGCCCTGGGTTCAATCCCAACACCAACACCAAAAATTTCATCTTAACCATTTTTAAGGCTTCAGTTGAATAGAATTGATTTTACCCACAGGGTTGTTCAACAGGTCTCTAGGACTTTTCCTGTTGCAGAATTGATACTTTGTGCCTTCTCCCCTACTCAACCCTGGGTGACTACTCTCCATGAATTTAACTACTTCAGATACCTCATATAAGTGAACTCATCTAGTATTTGTCTTTTGATGACTGGCTTATTACTTCACTTGGTATAATGTCTTCAAGATTCACCCATGTTGTAGCATGTAACAGGATTTCTTTCATTTTCAAGGTTAAATAATACTCCACTGATTGTGTGTGCCACATTTTGTTTAGTCATTCACCTGGCTGTAGCTAATTCGGGTTGCTTCTAGCTTTTGCCCAATCATGCATTTTAAGATCATTGATGTGCAAATATCTCATGACCCTGTTTTTCACTTAGATTGTAAACCTACAAGTGATGCTGGATCATACAGCAATCCTGGACTAACTTTGATCTTTATATCTCTCTCAATGACACCTACCCAGGGCTGTGTATCTGCATATTGTTCACTGGATGCTGGCACTGATTAACTTAATATCGGGAATAGCATTTTAAAGACAGTTTCTTTGCCATAGTAGCATTTAATAGAATTCAAATATGAACTATATCAAGAATATTGTATTCCTCCATCTCCTCCAAGCACACACGGTTTTAGCTTGAAATGAGTTTAGCTGAATTTGGACTTGCTCTTTTGAAAATGTGTGTCTTTATTTGGGTACAGTGTTTTGCTGTTGGGTTTTCAGGTAGGCATAAAAACCAATGATGCCATTTCTCCTAACAGTCACATAACATAAATCAGGAATGTTGCATAAGGAATAACATGCTGTGATTGTGCTTCTGGGTGCCTCAGCTTTCAGTTTTTAATATATGCCACTTTGACCATCTAGATCTACGAAGACTCCATTGTCTTACAGTCAGTGTTTAAAAGCGCTCGGCAGAAAATTGCCAAAGAGGAAGAGAGTGAGGACGAAAGCAATGAAGAGGAGGAAGATGAAGAAGAAGAGGAGTCCGAGTCTGAGGGTAAGTCCAGGCACCTGACTCCTGCACTTCCTCCCCTTCCCACCACAGAGATGGTTCATTTCCACAGATGCTGATAGATGAAAGTTGGGAAGATCTGCATTCAAGCCCTTAGTTTTTTTTGTCCTTGTGGGTAACCTCAAGCCAGATACTCACCCTCAATTTCATAGTTAAGGAAGATGAGCTTTGTACTGGTCCAAGCTCATTGTAAGTGCTCTGGGGATGTTGCCTTGGGTTGTTAGTACAATGTTGGCGTGAATACTTAGCACAGTGGTTGTGACAGCTTGAACAGTGCAGATTGCTGACCTCTACCCCAGTATTTCTGAGTCAGTAGACTGAGGATCTACATTTTTAACAACTTTCCTTCCACAGGATACTGATGCAGCTGAGGTCACACGATAAAAATCAGTGCTTTTGAAAATAACTGTATGATCCTTTTTATTCATCACAGTTTTAGGGTTTTTTTTTTAATGACTATTTTCCTCATCATGGATTTTATTGCATTAAAATACTTGCTGCTGCCCTGAATTTTATATCCAAGATGAGAACTTTAATATTTCAGAGGTGAAGGACTGTCATTTCATTTTACCTAGGCTGGCAGAGTGACTCAAGTGGTATAGCACCTGTTTAGGAAGCTCAAGGCCCTGAGTTTAAACCCCAGTGCTGCCAAAGCTTACTCTTTTTACCTAATTATGTTTTCCTTACCTTCTCTTAATACATCCCATTAGTTATGATCTGCATGTAAAACAACATATACTTACTTTTAAAAATGTGTAATTCCATTGTCCAATATAATTTAACTTTTTGAGAAGCAGCCTCCTAGTTTTCTATATGTATTATAGCATACTTTTTGTACATGTGAACACTTGTTTTTCTGCATCAAGATACATATAAGCACTAACGAATGTACCAAAATGTATTAATTTTACTCTTTGAGTCAGACCATTTCCATTTTAAACAATGCTGTCTTTGTACCCTTCTTCCCACCCTTATCTGCAGTCAGTATTCTTGGTGATTCTGCCTTTTATTTCTTTTCACTTTAATCTCTCTAAATTTCATGCTAGTTTTAACATCGTAGCATTTGATGAATAAGTCTATATAATCTATCTAGGTATATGTTTATTTCAGGACCAGATTCCTAATCTGTTTTCAAATAAGGGCCCTCTTCTCCTACCCTTCAAATAGGGTATTTTCCCCTCTCTGCTCTGAGAGTTGGTGTATTAATTTTCTATTGCTACTGTGACAGAGTACCACAAACTTAGCAGCTTAATACAACCCAAATTTATCACATCACAGTTCTGAGGTCACAAATTTGGTCTCTGGGCTCAAGTCAAGATGGCAGAGACTCCAGGGAAGAACCCCTTTCCTTGCTCATCAGGGTTGTTGGCAGAATTCAGTTTATTGTGATAGGATCCAGGTTCCTGTTTTCTTGCTGGTGGCTGCAAAGGGGGCCATTCCCAGCAGTGAGTAGGGGTCTTTCTCCGGTTGCATCTATCTGACCCTCTCTTAATGAGTAATGTTGTTACAAGTCCCACCTGAATAATCTAGAAAGCTGATTAGCAACTTGATCCTTTTTTCCATGTCAGATAACAGGTTTTGGAATTAGGTCATCTTTGGGCTTGGTAATTAGAACTTTTCAGGGGTACATATGGTGGCATGATAAAACCTGATAAAGCTGCCTCTAAGGCTCATCTGATAGTTTGGCTTACGAGCTTGCAAGGTATCATTTCTGGAAGTATAAATCCATGTGCACACAAATGTGATAGCTTTAGAGTGTCCCACCTTCTGGTGCATTTAATTACATTCTGGGGGATGCACTTAACTTTACTACAGTCTTGTGCCATTTCACACCTTATAGGGATTTCAGTTTCAAAATTTTGCAATTCCCAGTGTAACTAGTTCATGGCATCATTGTTTTAGAGTCCCCATCTTTATGCATTTCTGTTAATGGGCCTTTCTGTCTACAGTGTTACATTGTCCTAAGTTTCACCACCTAGGCCCTCCATCTATGAGATATCTTGCCTGGGAATTCTGCTTGGGGTACTAGGATTAGCCAGCTATTGCCCCATTTGGCATGGGGTAAAAGGGCACATGCAACTTTCACGTTCAAAATAGCCCTGTTCTCATTTCCCCCAGTGCAGGGTGTTGGGGGGAGGATTTCAGGGGTCCCATAAAGTTTGAGGACATCATGTCCCTCCATTTCAGAATCTATACCTAAGTGCCTTGAGACGCACCAAACATGCTATTGTAGTCTGAAAGAGAGACTCATGTTCTCAGTGACCTTGGCCTCAAGTACTAAACATGGTATCTATGGCTGCCTGTCCCAGAATAAGGCAGATTTCCTTTGTTCCCTGTTTCTCTGTTATAGCACTTTGAACTCTTCCAAGTGTCTTTATTTTTATTTTCAGATAGCCCTGTATGAGTGTTGTCTTCCTGAAGGCTAATTAGTAGAGAATTGTTAGAAATTTATGTGGATGTTTGCACCAAATTCTGGCAAGATAGGTTAACAAATGGTATTATGGCAGTTTTGTTTCTACTGGCAGAAAAACTGGAGACTTCAGTCCTCATCATTGATACTACAAATAAATTGTAGTATCGCTGATAGATAATGAGGCAAAAAGCAAGGTGTGGAATAAAAGTGAAGATTCTCTTGTAATAACTACATAAGAAACTTATATGTGTTTATATATACATATTTAAATTCTTTGTATTATAGAGATCCAATAGAATTACACACACTGAAATAAAAGGTATTTGCTATGGACTACTCTCTTTTTTTTTTCTAGAAATAATCACCAGAAAGAACTGGGGAAAAGGAAGCTTTCAAAGACCCAAACTGAAAGTAAAAACAAGACATGCCTTTCCACTGTCTATGTTGTTAAAAATATTAATCAGCTAGTTATCTACACAGTATAATTATTCATTTTTAACCCTGTATACCTATTTCTATTGAATATAAACTCTTACATAAATGACTACACACTCATAGTCCCTGTTCAGCCATCAGGAAAAGACCTGGTCCTCCCCTATCCACCCCAGGAAGTCTGCTTCACTTCCCTCTTGTTGCCTGTTTTGCTGTGACTATGTAACTGATCTTCCAGAGGATGGGGGCGGGGGAGGGGTGGTAAGTAGACAAGACCAGGGTGAACAGGCAGGCCAGGAAGTTTTGGGTACTCTGAGGTGTTGGGTTTGTTATCTGCAGGTAAGATCAGTTTACTACCTGTAAAAAGACTTCCCTGTGAATCCTCACTGGTGTCTGTTTTGTTTGTGTTATAGCAAAAGCTGTTAAGGTGAAAATCAAGCTTAATAAAAAAGATGAGAAAGGCCGGGACAAAGGAAAAGGCAAGAAAAGGCCAAATCGAGGAAAAGCCAAACCGGTTGTGAGTGATTTCGACAGCGATGAAGAACAGGATGAAAATGTAAGTGCGCTGGCCTGGGGAGAGGTGTCTGTCCCCTCTCACCCAGTGATATGAACAGAGCTGTGTGATTTAGAACAAAGACTTTCGGTCTTTTTAAAAAGCTACTGCGTCAGTTTCCCTTCCCTTTAGAAATCTTCCCATCTACTGACTTGCAAATACAGTTTCTTCATGGCCAGTTAATATTTTTATATCCATTACACCTAGCATGGTACCTAATATATAACAGAGTAGATAAAACAATGGTTAGAGGGAAGAATGAGAAAAAGTGTTGTGGTTAGAGTTTTTGGATTGAGTTGCTACCTGAGGTCCATATAATTATATACAGAGAGGTGTTCTTTTTAGTATTTGGAAAAGGGAGTTTTTATTGCGCTATACCCTGAAATAGGTACCTTCTTATAAAGTGCATACTTGGTGCTTACGTTAGTGTCATGAAGCAGATGTCACTCTCAAGATATTACAGAAACCAGTTATGCATGCTTTATTCCAGATCATGGAGCAAGTAAATGATTTGCAAGCCCAGAGGTTTAACTCAGTCTAAGGCACTGCCCCTGCCTCTTTGGTAGATGAGTGGGCAGAAATTTCTACAGTACCCTCACTTCTGTTCACCTTCCAGAGGAGCTTGGCTTTCCTCCCGCCAACATATTTTTCTTTCTGAAGAGATAATTTTCCATTAACACGTTGTCACTCTGGTCTGAATGGAAAACTCCAGGATTATAATATTTTCCAGTATATCTCAAATACCATGTTTTCATTAGACAACTTACCAATGAGCAGACATCAAATGCATGGTAATTTTCTTTTCTTACGAATTTTCTAAAACAGATCTTAGAAAAATTATTAACCATAATCTTTAGCAGCCACAGTGAAAGACAGAAAAATAACAAGCATAGCTGATGGGCATTGCTTTGGGATTTTCATTTCAGACGCCCCCTCCTCCGCATGGAGACCATCCATTTCTTTTAAGAAGTTGTCTGTCTTTCTACAGAAAGAGATTTGGAGCATTAACTCTTTCCAAAATGTCATTTCATTTTATCTTTTCCCTTTAGGAACAGTCAGAAGCAAGTGGAACTGATGATGAGTGATCCGTACGGACCTTTTTCCCATGGTAGAACTGAATACTTCCTTCCCTCTCTCATTTCTTCCCAGTGAGCTCACTTGTTCATTTGGACACTGGGTTGTTTCTACGTCATCATCATCATCTATAAACTAGCTTTAGGATAGTGCCAGACAAACATATGATATCATGGTGTAAAAAAACACACAAATATTTGTAACATATTGTGACCAAAATGGGCCTCAAAGATTCAGAGATTAAAACAAACAAAAGCTTTTGATGGAAAATATGTGGGTGGATAGTATATTTCTATGGGTGGGTCTAATTTGGTAATGGTTTGATTGTGCCTGGTTTTATCACCTGTTCTGATGAGAAGATTTTTTTGTCTTTTGTAGCACTGATAGCCAGGAGAAGCCATTAAAAGCCACTGGTTATTTTATTTTTCATCAGGCAATTTTCAAGATTTTTATTTGTTCAGTATTGTTTTTTTTTACACTGTGGTACATATAAGCAACTTTAATAGGTGATAAATGTACAGTAGTTAGATTTCACCTGCATATACATTTTTCCATTTTATGCTCTATGATCTGAAGAACAAATGCTTTTTGAATTGTATAAGATTTTATGTCTACTGTAAACATTGCTTAATTTTTTTGCTCTTGGTTTAAAGTTTTGTTGAAAACGCTATTGAATATTGCAATCTATAGAGTGTACTGGATGGCTTCTTTTGTCGACCTGATCTCCTCTGTTACCAATGTGTATTGTCTCCTCCCTAAAGTGTACTTAATCTTTGCTTTCTTTGCACAATGTCTTTGGTTGCAAGTCATAAGCCTGAGGCAAATAAAATTCCAGTAATTTCAAAGAGTGTGGTGTTGGTGCTTTCCTAACCTAATAAACAGATAATTTAGCTCAATAAATGTTGCCTCTTGTTTTTGAGTCCTAGGGCACTAAAACCTGTCGGTCTGGTGGCTATGTCTTCAGCTGGGCAGGTTCTTGCTACAGAACTTGTGGGTGGGGGATGAAGACATCATTATTTCCTGACTCTTACCTATTATGATCATATAAGGTCCATACTTTATATTTGATTGTCTTGTTTGTCTTTCTTAGTACATTTTGTGTGTGCATGTGTGTGTGTCTATGGAACTGAGGTTTGAACTTAGGGCTCTGTGCTTGCAAACAAGGCACTCTACCACTTGAGCCATTCTCCCAGCCTAAGTATATATATATATTTTTTAAACCAGCCCAAAAACTGGCACATCCTTTCCTAAGGAACTGATAATGGCAGGATCAAAATGGAAGAGTTCTCCTTCATCACTAATGAGTAGGTGAAAACCTCCTTTCTTACAATTGAGAAATCAGGGATCCTTGAGATTATAGTAGAGGGAATTGCCAATGCTGAATCTTACTTTGAATCTTAATGAGCAGAAACAGAGCACAGTCCTAAATACCAGCTCTCATGTCTGAAATTCCAGTTACTTTGAGCATTACAGACTGTTGCATTCCCCTTCTTGGTTGGCTTGTAGTGCTGTATTATTTGTATTTGCAATATTACTGACTGCAGTACAAGTAGAGACTTCCATCAAAGAATATGTCAGATTAAGTTTTATTACTGAGATGATTTAGTATCAGTTCAGAGAGAACCCTCTTTCCCTGCTTCCATTGCTTTATTTTATGTGCTCTTTACAATCTCTTCTTGGCTTCAGAAGCATTGCTATTCTAAAGCCATCAAAAACATTGCCTTCATGGTTTAAGATTTCTAGAGTGTGAGAATGGTCTCTGAGACTGCACTTACGTTGTTCTCCCTGATGTAGTGGAAGTTAAAGCCATCGTACTCCATCCTACTCAGCACATGAATCATTTGTTTGTCCAATGTATCCATGGTGTATACACTATCCACCTATTAGTCATTCAGTACCTGTCAACTTTCATGGTATTGCAGTGTTTAAGAAGATTAATAGTAGCCTAATCTACATCATGATGTCTGTATCATATCACTTAATCATATCATGTAGGAATTGTGTCTCATCTTAAGAATTTTGGAGAGAGTCTTCCATATTCATATAACTTTTGTTATATTATCAGGATAGTAAGCTTTCTGTTACTGTAATAAATACCTGATAATTTCTAACGAATGAGAAAAGGCCTATTTTCACTCACAGTTTTAGAGTTTCCAGTCCATAATAGGTTGGTGTCATTGCTTTGGGAGAAGTACCACATCGCAGTAGAAGTCAGTGGCAGAAAAAAACAGCTCACTTCATGGCCAAAAAGGAAGAGAGAGGAAAAGGAAAGAACTGAAGCCTCACCGTTCCCCTCAGAAGAACTCTTCAGTGATCTTGAGAGAACCTTACCTCTGGTCTAGGCCCTAATTCCTAAAAAGTCAGCCATCTCCCAGTAGTACCACTTGGGGGATCGAGACTTTATTTATTGAACCCAGGACCTTGAACTTAACAGGCAAGCACTCCACCACTGAGCTACACTTCCAGTCCTTCTGTTTCTATTTTTTTGGCAATACTGGGGTTTGAACTCAGGGTTTGCACTTTCAAGACAGATGCTCTCATGATGGAACCACACCTCCAGCCTCTGATTCTATTGTTGAGATAGGGTGTCATTAATTTCTCCCAAACAGGCCTCAAGCTTGTGAACCTCCTGCTTTCACCACCTGAGTAGCTGGGATTATAGGCATGCACCACCATGCCCAGCCTGGGAATAAATTTAATCCACAGGTCTTTGGAGGACATTCAAGATCCAAATTATAGCAAGTATATTGCTACAATTGTTCTATTTCATTACTAGTAATTAGCTAATCTCTTACTGTGCCTAAGTCACTAATTATACTTTATCATATATATATATATATATATATATAGTAAAAAAAAACCATAGTTTATATAGGGTTCAGTACTATCTAACATTTCAGGGGGTCTTGGGATGTATCCCTGTGGATAAGGGGGGAACTTTTGTGTGGTGGTTTAGGGCCAAGTTCTCTGCACATCTAAGTGGGATGGCATTCCGGGGCACTTCTCAAGGGGAAATTGGGGAACCACCATCAGACCCACTATTGTGACAGCAGACCTACAGCCTGGCCTCCTGGCGGAGTCAGCCGCATAGCTGTAGTTTTAGTCTTCTCCGTGCACCTGACTCAGCACACATCACAGCTGGCTCTGCCTGAGTTGATGTCTGTAGTCAGAGCATGAGCTGCCCAGCCTTAAATGGGGAGATTTTCATAGGCCAAGCCCTTGGAATGTGATGTTGTAAGTATCAATCTCTTGACTTCCAGTTAAAGATATTGCTCAGTCAAAATTATGGGAAACAGGTATTTCTATAGCATTTCCTGTAGCACTTACCAGGAAACTTTGAGTCATTTTTCAGACCATTTCATCACTGTTGACCTATGTGAACACATGGCTCCAACTTTATGACAATGTTAATGGGTCAGCCAGTGTATATGTAGTTCAGGTATCATTAAATGGTGCATGTATACAGTGTAGCAGGGATGGAAAAAATTTTAAAGACCTTGTTTTCTAATGCTGCTTATTTGCCTTTTAAGTACTATTTTTCAGATGAGAAACTGAGGTCATGACCCTGATCTAGAAATCAAATATGTGGGTTTTTCTGGGCTTTGCCCCAGAGTTACTTAAGTTTCAGTGAAGAATGAAATTCTAAGACTTGTAGTTGGAACATATTTATGTTGTCAAAGGTTTCCATTATGTTAGAGAAAAAAATAAAGATTTGCAAATCTCATTTAAAAATTCCAGAAAGAGTCACAAAATTAAGAAATAGCCTGGAGATGGCTTCTAAGGGCCCTTGAAGCAATGATGGTTTCAAAATAGGGATTTCTCAAAGTGTGGTCCTGGACCAGGAGCATCAGCATCACTTAGAAATATCAGAAATGCAAGGTCTCACGCTCATCTGAGACCCTAAGGGTGGAGCCCTCAAGGTGGAGCCCAGCAATCTAAAAAGCCCTCTGGGTAGTTAAAGTGTGTGCTCACTCAAATAATCACTATTATTTCATGTCTGAGGAACATATTGTACTAGGATGTAGAGCTCACTAGTATAGGCATGAACACCTAGCACACGATTGTCACTCTAGTAAAAATAACTGCAAAAGCTATTTTCTCTCTCTCTCTCTGAAACAGCTCTTCTGTCATATCTGTTACAAGGCGGCAGTCTTCATTTCAGATTGATATAATACTTGGGGGGAATACTTTTGGTTTGCATAGCAGAAAGGTAGAGACATTTTCCCCTTCCAAATAAATGTTGTTCCCACAATAATTTTATATTAACAGTCAATCTTACTATGCAGATATCTTGGAGGAATGGGCATGTCTATTTTCTTAAAATTTGCTAAAGAGCTACACCAAACTAGATAAAGTACAATTTCCTTGTTTATATATACTGTCATAGTGTGTGATTCTGAAAAGCTAAATCTCTGTTCTGCTTAAGGAGGGATGGTGACAGATGGGGGCACAAAGGTGGAGCCACAAAGACTGACAGAGCTAGAATGGCTTGACTGTGGTGTAGGTGAGCTCTGTTCATCCCTGGTAGTTGTTAAGGACATTGAGTTTAATGGAGGGTAGAAATGACAATGTTCCAAATGACTGTGCCCCTTTATGAAAGAAGATGTCTGTTCTGCATTACTTTCAGCAGGGTTTCTCCAGTGGGGTTTTCCAAGTTGAGCAAAGCAAAGCCCCTAAGTCTGGAGACCACAGGGAAGCCAGTTTCCTGTTTATAAACACTGCTTTTTATTGAGTACAAGGAAGGTCTCATCCTCTGTGACCCAGAGAGCAGTTGTGAAGCAAGGATCACTGTGAAACTGTAAGTTTCAAAAAGTATGGACTCACATTCCCTCAAGCAAATACATGTATTTTTTCATTTGTTGCAAGAATTAAAATTCATTCTCTAGGGTTATATAACAGATGTGTCCACCACAGCCAGTGAAATAATACAAAGAACATTAATTTAGAATTTATCCCCCACCAGGCAACTGGCTTTGATAGCCTGATACCATCACTTCTATACCTTTTTCCTTGATAACATAAACATATCCATGTATTTTACAAAATGCCAGCTCCCTAACTGTCACCAGTACAACCTGTGAATGAGAGGAAATGGGACTTACTGCTTACTGTGGTAAGAAGAGCCACCACCTTGATAGTTTGAGGGAGAAGATTCAAATTTGATTTAAAGTGTTTCTATCAATGCTGTACTTGATTAGGATTCAGTATGGCTCATGAAATAGTTTAGAATTTGTAAAAATTGCTAGATGAGGACTTTGAGGGAGGTTTAAAGAATTCTTAGGGCACAGCTATGTGATGATTCTTTTCTCCTGAAGAGTTGATGTGTCTTCTAGGAAGCTCTTGTAATGAACGATAAATATTTGTGTGGGCAGGAGTCACCTGGAATAGTAACTCTGTGCTAGTGAAGAAATGTAGAGTCATTTTAATGTAGCCAGTAATCTGTGCAAGTACAAGACTTTGGATTTCACCTCTACTTTAAGGATGTTTCTGGTTATTATTTTTTTCAGTACTTTACTATTCTCTGCAGCTTGACCTTTTCACTTAACAATACATTGAGTATTTTCCTCTAAGACAAGGGACAGAGATTGAAGTTGTTATTGTCTTCCAGTGTCAAGAACATTATTTTTTTCATAATAAAATAAGTACATGCACAGTGCAGGAAAGGCGGAAGTGCTATGGATTGTGTGTTATTTGAGTGTCCCTCCCCCCACAAGGGCACCAGGGTGGTGCTTTGGAGAGAGGTCAAACCCTTACAAGGAGGGGTCCTGTGGGAGGTCCTTAGGTTACTGGTGCTGTGTCTAAGAGGATTGTGACCCATGCCATTCTTTCTCTCTTTCTTTCTCCCTTCCTCTCTTCCCTCTCTCTCTCTCTCTCTCTTTCTCTCTGTCTCTCT